CCATTATGCACAGGAAGTCCTGGACTTATAACATTTTATTTAGCGACCATTTGAAGTTAAAACAGTGCTAAAAAAAGTGACATGACCATTTTTCACACTTACAACTATTGCAGCATCCCCCTTGTCACGTGATCAAAATTATGACGCTTGGCAATTGACTCAGATTTGTGAGTTTCATTGTCCTGGGGTCATGTGATCTCCTTTGTCGACTGAGGTGATGCACAACTTGGGGAACCTCCTGGACTCATGGCTCCTGCTTGAGAAGATCATAGGTGGGGGAGGGGCTTTGCAGAGATTTATCTGGTGCGCCAACTGTGTCCTTTCCTTGACCAGGGAGGCCTTGCACAGAGCTCAATCATGCCTTGGTCACCTCCAGTTTGGATCACTGCCCTGGACCCCCCGGAAATTATAACTGGTCCAGAATGCCCCAACACAGAAAGTAACGAGGGCCTCTAGGTTGCCCATATCACATCTTTGTGGTGTGAGCTGCCGCAGGCTTTGTTTCTTTACAGGTGCAATTGAAGATGCTGCTCATCACATTTAAAGCTATTTCTTTATTGTAGCAGTTGCACTTGGAATTAATACACCACCCCACTGTGCTTCATAGCACTCTCGGCTTACAGTGTCAGCATATTCTCCCCAACAATCTGGCTTCTCATTTTACTGATCTCAGAAGGATGGAGGGCTGAGTTAACTTCGAGCTCCCTCAGGATCGAATTCCAGGCTGTGGGCAGAGTCAGCCAGCAATACTGCATTCCCACCACTGAGCCAACAGGGCACCTGTCAGTAATGTTCCACTTTTATTATTTCTGCATCTATCTGTTCTACCAGGTCAGATAGTGTGGGCATGCACCTAGCCCCTTCCCTTAACTATGGCCATCTGATAGGAGCTAGGAAGTGAGCCTTTTCCGCAGCAGACCCTGCCCTAAGAGACACTTTTCCCCCTGAAGTATGGCAGGCCATTATCCTCCTAGTCTTCGGTAAAGCAAGGAAGATCTAATCCTGTGGTTAACGTCTCCAATTTAGCTCTTTGCAAGGAGAAAGATGACCACTTTTGAACAAGAATGGCACAAGGAGGGCCATAATGAAACGTCGGAAAAGACGCCTGGAGAGCAGTTGGAGGGCCAGCCGAACCGAATCCACTCGAACACAGGTAAAGACACATCTTAGATCTTACCTAGTGGCGCTGAGGGAGGCTAGGACTAACTACTATGCCTCACTCATCGCGTCATCAGATAACCGCCCTGCCGCCCTCTTCAGGGTGACCCGCTCTCTCCTTCAAT